TCCTCCCTGAGTGCACATTTATCTCATTGTAATGGATTTGCAGGTCTGTCCATCCGAAGGCACGTGAAATGATCAGGTAAACATGACTCAAAGTTTCTCAGTTGAGAAACCACACGGAGAATCACGGAGTTGGAAGGGGCTCCCAAGGCTCATCCAGCCTGACCCTTCTGGCATAAAGGAAGACACCGCCTAATCCCTCCCCAAAGATGGCCATCCACTTGGCCCTCTTAGTCTAAATGCAGCTTTTGGGGAGAAGCCCAACCTTTGGGCCCAAAACACACCCTCCACAACACTTGTATAATCAATCAGTTTCCAATTGCATTCAAAATTGTCCCGCCAAGCAAGCAATCATCCACAAAGAGTATACAAAGAGCATACACAGAGCTCTTATTGGAGGGAAGCGGTCTCTTTGCATTGTAGTCTTCAGAAGACAAGACAGGGGGGTCAGATGAACAGGCCTCCTGCAGAGGAAAGGAGAGAGAGGAGCATTATCATGGCCGACCCCATACAGGCCCCCATCAGGGCTCCCTCTTAAAGGGCCAGGCCCCTCCGAAGCATCCCACCTGTGACCTCAATGCTGGCTCCGGTGATGTAGCGGCTCTCCTCCGAGGCCAGGAAGGCGCAGACGTCCGCCACGTCTTTAAGGGAAAGAGGAGGAAACAGCCAATGCTCAACATCAATTGACAACAGGACAGGATATGTCAGAAACATTAAAAATTTACAAGGTATTTTTAATTACAAAAATTTGACTGAGGGACTGAATAGGTTAAATGCATGCAGAGACTCAGAAAAGCTGCAGTTCAATATAAGCAGGCTGTGCCTGTTACGTAGCAACGCCTCAGTCCGAGAGAGCTCTCAGTGTGAGAGGGAGGCCTCGGTATGAAAAGGCCTTGTGTGTGTCAGCAAAGGCTGCAGTTCACATTTGCCTGTGGCTTAGCAATGCCTCCGTCTGAGACAGCTCTCAGTGTGAGAGAAGCCTCTGTGTGTGAGAGAACGCCTTAGTGGGAGAATAGGCCTCAGAGTGTGAGGGAGCTCTCAGTGTGAGAGAAGCCTCTCTGTGCGAGAGAATGCCTCAGTGGGAGAATAGGCCTCAGAGTATGAGAAAGGCCTTAGTATGAGTAGGCCTCGTGCGTGTCAGCAAAAGCTGCAGTTCAGGCATGCCTGTGGCTTAGCAACACCTCAGTCTGAGAGAGCTCTCAGTGTGAGAGAAGCCTCTGTGTGTGAGAGAATGCCTCAGTGGAAAAAAAGGCCTCAGGGTGTGAGGTAGGCCTCAGTATGAGAAGGCCTCGTGTGTGTCAGCAAAAGCTGCAGTTCAGGCGTGCCTGTGGCTTAGCAACACCTCAGTCCGAGAGAGCTCGCAGTGTGAGAAAAGCCTCTCTGTGTGAGAGGAGGCCTCAGTGGGAGAATAGGCCTCAGAGTGTGAGGTATGCCTTGGTATGAGAAGGCTTTGTGTGTGTCAGCAAAAGCTGCAGTTCAGGCATGCCTGTGGCTTAGCAACGCCTCAGTCCGAGAGAGCTCGCAGTGTGAGAGAAGCCTCTCTGTGTGAGAGGATGCCTCAGTGGGAGAATAGGCCTCAGAGTGTGAGGTATGCCTTGGTATGAGAAGGCTTTGTGTGTGTCAGCAAAAGCTGCAGTTCAGGCATGCCTGTGGCTTACCAACACCTCAGTCCGAGAGAGCTCTCAGTGTGAGAGAAGCCTCTCTGTGTGAGAGAACACCTCAGTGGGAGAATAGGCCTCAGGGTGTGAGGTATGCCTCAGTATGAGAAGGCCGCGTGTGTGTCAGCAAAAGCTGCAGTTCAGGTGTGCCTGTGGCTTAGCAACGCCCCAGTCTGAGAGAGCTCACAGTGTGAGAGAAACCTCTCTGTGTGAGAGAAGCCTCTCTGTGTGAGAGAACGCCTCAGAGGGAGAATAGGCCTCAGAGTGTGAGGTAGGCCTCAGTATGAGAAGGCCTTGTGTGTATCAGCAAAAGCTGCAGTTCAGGCGTGCCTGTGGCTTAGCAATGCCTCCGTCTGAGAGCTCTCAGTGTGAGAGAAGCCTCTGTGTGTGAGAGAATGCCTCAGTGGGAGAAAAGGCCTCAGAGTGTGAGATAGGCCTCAGTATGAGAAGGCTTTGTGTGTGAAGCTCCAGTGTGAAGGTTGAACTTTATTTGTGTTATGGAAAAGCTTACTTTGCTATAAAGAAATGCCTCCTACGGAAGAGAGAACATTGATCTGTATGTTTTCCTTCTTTTTATCACTTTGGACTATTGGTGCTGGGTCACGCTGCTGCTGATAAACTACTCTGCTAAACATTCATGGGGAGGGTCTTTTGTTAATAAGCCCACTCGCCCAACAGTATATATGTATATATTTCAAGCATGGGCCAACTTCGGCCCTCCAGGTGTTTTGGACTTCAACTCCCACAATTCCTAACAGCCGGTAGGAAAACTCACAACAACCCACAAGAAATACAGTAGCAACAACAACAACAAACTAGAGTTGGGGCTGACCTTCAGGGTCTCCCAGTCGGCCCAGAGGCACCATGGATGCAAACTGGGAAGGGAAGGGGAGAGAAAAATAATCCAGGTTAGGAACACCAGTCGCAAGGAGAGAATTCGAACCCAGAGCTCTGCTCCGCTGCCACTCAAGAGTTGGAATATGTAGTTTGTGGCTTCGTAGGCCTGCTCAACAGCTCCGCCCCATTAAAGCCAGGGTCCACTCTGGTGCTGACCTTGTCCAGGACCTTCTGGGGGACCTTGTCCGTCATGGGCGAGCGGATGAAACCCGGGAGCACCGTGTTGCAGCGGATGCCGTACCTGCAAGGAAGCACCGGATTGGGGTGTGTGTGTGATCCGTTTATTATGTTTTGTATTCCACCTTTCTTATGATTGAGGGACCCAAGGCAGCTAAACCATAAATACAGAACCCTAGAGTTGAAAGGGTTCTCTAAAGGCCATCCAGTCCAGCCCCCTTTCTTCTCTCGAGCCAGGCACACAATGCTAATTAAAGCCATGCAAATGCACAAGAAATACAAAAGAAAAAAATATGAATGGACCCTTTTGTGTCATTCACAACATTAGATGAGAAAAAAGTACATATCAAAATGCATTTACCATAAATTCCCAATCGCAATCCGTGAAAAATGGAAATGAATTAGATAATAATAGCAATAACTTGACTTATATTCCAACCTATCTCCCCAAAGGGACTCGGGGCGGATCACAGTACAATTACATGGCAAACATTCAGTGCCATTTTGGACAGACAGGACAGAGACAGACAGAACAGAAAGGAGGTATGTTGTGTCGACGTCCAGCTTTTTAGCACCTTAAGAGGTTGTGCTAGAATCCAGCCACAAGGGGGTGCTGTTGCTCTATCCTCTATGACGAAGAGCCATCAGGACTTCCTCCTTCCTTTTGGTCATCAGGCATTTTCTGATCTTTTCTTCTTTTATACCTCCCTTGCTTGTGAAGAGGTTCCTTATTTCTCTACTTACAGCAAAAGCTGTTTTCTAACTGCTTAGGTAAACAGTAAACTGGGCTGACAGTCAGGTGCTCACGCCAACCTGGAGCTTCAAACTGGAATCTTTTTGGTTGGTAGATCTTATCATTGCTGGTGATGATGATAATGATGATTATATTTATAACCCACTTTATCTCCCCCAAAGGAGACTCAAAGCGGCTGGAGGACTTACGGGAGCCTACAGAAGCATGCTCTGCTCTCTAGGAATTCTCCCGGGCAGCTCTAGGGTTTATTGTTGAAGGCTTCCCACCAACAAGCCCGACCCGGGCTGATGCTGCTCTTCTTCCCTCTTTACCTTCCTCCTCCTTTTCCTTGGCGTCTCCTTTCCCATCAACTGGCCCAGCCCGGGCTGCTGCTGCTCTTCTTCCCTCCTCGCCCTCTTTACCTTCCTCCTCTGGGTGCCGCAGAGGCCCAGGCGGCGACAAGGTGCCTCCTCCACCGCTTCTGGAGCAGCAATAGTTGTAGCACCCAGAAGAGGAAGGTAAAGAGAGCGAAGAGGGAAGAAGAGCAACAGCAGCCCAGGCTGGGCCTGTTGATGGGAAAGGAGGCGCCAAGGAGGAGGAGAAGGAGGAAGGTAAAGAGGGCGAGGAGGGAAGAAGAGCCACCCCCGGAGGGGAAAAGAAGATCCTATTTACCTTCCTCCTCCTTGGTGCCTTCCTTCCCGCTGATTGGGTGAGTGAGAGTGAGTGGCGTTGAGGAGGAGGAAGGTAAAGAGGGCGATGAGGCTGAGCCTCCGCCGCCATTGCCGCTGCCAGATCTGCATCCAGAGTGCATTGGCAGGGCCTTTCTACTCAGTCTTCCCTCGCTACTTGTACTTCTATATTTTAAATTCATTTTTTTTAAACCCGCGAAACAGCGAGTCCGTGGAAAGCGAACCACGAAGTAGTGAGGGAACACTGTAAACACTCCACTTGCCTCACTGCCAACAGAACCTCTGAAAATGCTTGCCACAGATGCAAGCAAAACATTAGGAGGAAATGCTTCTGGAACACGTCCATATCTCCCCTAAAGGACACTCAATATCACGTCCATATCTCCCCCAAAGGAAAACTCACGGCGACCCACTGATCCTGGCAATGAAAGCCTTCGACAATATCTATCTGTATCTATCGTATCTGTCTATTGCATATATCTATCTACCATAACTATCTATTGCAGTGTTTCTCAACCTGGGGGTCAGGACCCCTGGGGGTGGGTCACGAGTGGGTGTCAGAGGGGTCGCCAAAGACCATCAGAAAACACAGTATTTTCTGTTAGCCATGGGGGTTCTGTGTGGGAAGTTTGGCCCAATTCTATCGTTGGTGTGGTTCAGAATGCTCTTTGATTGTAGGTGAACTATAAATCCCAGTAACTACAACTCCCAAATGTCAAGGTCTATTTTCCCCAAACTCCACCAGTTTGCTCACATTTGGACATATTGAGCATTTTGCCAAGTTTGGTCCAGATCCATCATTGTTTGAGTCCACCGTGCTCTCTGGATATAGGGGAACTACAACTCCCAAACTCAAGGTCAATGCTCACCAAACCTTTCCAGTATTTTTTGTTGGTCATGGGAGTTCTGTGTGCCAAGTTTGGTCCAATTCCATCGTTGGTGGGGTTCAGAATGCTCTTTGATTGTAGGTGAACTATAAATCCCAGCAACTACAACTCCCAAGTGTCAAGGTCTATTTCCCCCAAACTCCACCATTGCTCACATTTGGACATATTGAGCATTTTGCCAAGTTTGGTCCAGATCCATCATTGTTTGAGTCCACCGTGCTCTCTGGATATAGGGGAACTACAACTCCCAAACTCAAGGTCAATGCTCACCAAACCTTTCCAGTATTTTTTGTTGGTCATGGGGAGTTCTGTGTGCCAAGTTTGGTCCAATTCCATCGTTGGTGGGGTTCAGAATGCTCTTTGATTGTAGGTGAACTATAAATCCCAGCAACTAAAACTCCAAAATGACAAAATCATAATTTTTTGAGTGATGGTCACTCCTTGTGTTGTGAGACAAAATCAACCCTCCCCCCACCCCACCAGTATTTATATTTGGGCATTTCGGATATCTGTGCCAAATTTGGTCCAGTGAATGAAAATAGATCTTGCATATCAGATATTTACATGACAAATCATAACAGTAGCAAGATTAAGTTATGAAGTAGCAACGCAAATAATGTTATGGTTGGGGGTCACCACAACCTGAGGAACTGCATTAAGGGGTCACGGCATTAGGAAGGTTGCATCTTGCTACTATATCTTTCTATTTCTCTATTAGGAGAGAATGCTGCTGGAACATGGCCATACAGCCCCAAACACTCCCAGCAACGTAGCTCTGGGGTTATTTACCACCCAAATTTCCCCCTGGGGCCCCTCCTGGACTGACCTGGCCAGCTCCTTGGCTGCCGTCTTGGAGAGGGCCTCCACTCCGGCCTTGGAGGCGGCGTAGTTCACCTGGCCCAGGTTCCCCACCTGCACAAAGGAAGAGGCGTATGGCAAGGCGGAGGGGTCTCCACCAAGAGAGCCCCGGGGGTCTTAAGGCCTCTGTTTCAACCCATGGGAACGGCATAGGGATTGGAGCGCTGGGCCACAGCTAGGGAGACCCGGGTTCAAGTCCTGGCTCAGATAGGGAAACCCACTGATTGGCCTTAGACGGGGGGCACGCTCTCCCAAAGGCCTGCTATAGGGGTCGCGACCCAGAGGCACAAGGGCAGCCTGGATTTTGGACGACGGAGGGCACCTTTCCCACGATGCTCCCCATGTTGACGATGGAGCCCCCTCCGGAGGTGCCGCTCTCCACCAGGGCCCGGGCCACGGCCTGCGTCACCAGGAAGGTCCCCTGGAAGAGGAATCGCAGAGTCAGGAGGGGCTCCCAAAGGCCATCCAGGCAAGCCACCACCCGATCCCTCCCAACAGACAGACCTGCACACTGTGACTTTCCTCCCTCTTGACGCAGCCTTGGCCTTTGCAGCCGGAGCATCCCACCCTGGACTCACCTTCAGTTCCTGCTTCCTTGAGACTCAAGCCAGGTCTCTCTCATCCTGTGTTTATGAGCCTCTCCCTATCAAGGTCCATTCTGTTTGCAAAAGCACCCACCTTGAGGTTGACCCGCAGCACGGTGTCAAAGGCCTCCTCCGTCTGCCGGAGCAGGAACTCATCCATCGTGATGCCGGCGCAGTTGACGCAGACGTTGGCCGGGCGGGAAAAGTGGGTCTGGGGGCAGAAGCGGGTTAAAGGGGAAGCCCAGCAGAGGAACTCCCCCACTTTAAGGCAAGCCGATCTGGAGTAGGGATGGGTGGCCATCTGTTGGGAGGGCTTGGATGGGGGTGAGACTGGGTGACCTTTGGGGGACCCTTCCAGCTCTGGGATTCCAAGTGGGATTTCTCAAGTCCCAGCTGACCCCCAGCAAAGCCATTTCCTATCCCTTCCAACAGCCTGCCGGGGAGCCCAATGGGACCTCCTTCCTTCTCTGGGGGTCTTGAGCCAGGGGGCTTTCTGCTTGACACAAAGGGGCTGGGTGGGTTGGCCCTATTGTTGTTATTTATTTATTTATTTCAAACCTTTGTACCCCCGTCCTTCTCAGCTCCCGAGGGGGGGACTCAGCGTGGCTTACAACGGCAGCAATTCGATGCCGGTAACATACAAAAACACAATACAAAATGACGTGACAGAGTAGATAAACAACATGAGGTTACTGTGGCACAGCTGGCTGGGGGTCAGTGGCATTAAGGTCACTACTGACCAAAAGGTCATGAATCATAGAATCATAGAATCAAAGAGTTGGAAGAGACCTCATGGGCCATCCAGTCCAACCCCATTCTGCCAAGAAGCAGGAATATTGCATTCAAATCACCCCTGACAGATGGCCATCCAGCCTCTGTTTAAAAGCTTCCAAAGAAGGAGCCTCCACCACACTCTGGGGCAGAGAGTTCCACTGCTGAACGGCTCTCACAGGAAGTTCTTCCTCATGTTCAGATGGAATCTCCTCTCTTGTAGTTTGAAGCCATTGTTCCGCGTCCTAGTCTCCAAGGAAGCAGAAAACAAGCTTGCTCCCTCCTCCCTGTGGCTTCCCTCTCACATATTTATACATGGCTATCATATCTCCTCTCAGCCTTCTCTTCTTCAGGCTAAACATGCCCAGCTCCTTAAGCCGCTCCTCATAGGGCTTGTTCTCCAGACCCTTGATCATTTTAGTCGCTCTCCTCTGGACACATTCCAGCTTGTCAATATCTCTCTTGAATTGTGGTGCCCAGAATTGGACACAATATTCCAGATGTGGTCTAACCAAAGCAGAATAGAGGGGTAGCATTACTTCCTTAGATCTAGACACTAGGCTCCTATTGATGCAGGCCAAAATCCCATTGGCTTTTTTTGCCGCCACATCACATTGTTGGCTCATGTTTAACTTGTTGTCCACGAGGACTCCAAGATCTTTTTCACACGTACTGCTCTCAAGCCATGCATCCCCCATTCTGTATCTTTGCATTTCTTTTTTCTGCCAAAGTGGAGTATCTTGCATTTGTCACTGTTGAACTTCATTTTGTTAGTTTTGGCCCATCTCTCTAATCTGTCAAGATCATTTTGAATTCTGCTCCTGTCCTCTGGACTATTGGCTATCCCTCCCAATTTGGTGTCGTCTGCAAACTTGATGATCATGCCTTCTAGCCCTTCATCTAAGTCATTAATAAAGATGTTGAACAGGACCGGGCCCAGGGGGGAACCCTGAGGCACTCCACTTGTCACTTCTGAGTTCGAAGCCAGCCCAGGTCAGAGTGAGCTTCTGACCATTTGTGTAGTTTGGCCCGCCCTTTGTGTTTGATTTTACTATGCTATTTTATACTCTTAACTTTATTTACTGTTTTATGTATTTTGTTATGATGTATTTTTGCTGTTTTGTATCTAATTATGTTGTATTATTTTTGGGCTTGGCCTCATGTTAACCGCCCCGAGTCCCCTTTGGGGAGATGGTGGTGGGGTATAAATAAAGATGATGATGATGATGATGATGATTATTCAGCATGTATTACCAAAATTAAAACAAGTTACAGGTGTCAGCACTTTGTTGGAGTAAAATATTATTTATTGTCGAAGGCTTTCATGGCCGGAATCACTGGGTTGTTGTAGGTTTTTCCGGGCTATATGGCCATGTTCTAGAGGCATTTTCTCCTGACGTTTCGCCTGCATCTATGGCAAGCATCCTCAGAAGTAGTGAGGTCTGTTTGGAAGTAGGAAAATGGGTTTATATATCTGTGGAATGACCAGGGTGGGACAAAGGACTTTTGTCTGCTGAAGCTAGGTGTGAATGTTTCAACTGACCACCTTGATTAGCATTTAATGGCTTGGAAGTGCCGGAGAAATGCTGGACCACACCAACAACCACCATGTCAGACTACACAGAGAAGCCATTGAAATCCACAAGAAGCATGTGGACAATTTCAACAGAAAGGAAGAGACCATGAAAATGAACAAAATCTGGCTACCAGTATTAAAAAACTCTAAAATTACAACAACAAAATAGCAGAGAGGAAACAACCAGGCACATCTTAACACCTCTCAACAGAACATTTTCCCAGGCTCAGCCAGGCCTTCAAATGCTAATGAAGGTGGTCAGCTGAAACATTCACACCTAGCTTCAGCAGAGAGCTCTTTGTCCCACCCCAGATATATAAACCAATTTTTTCTACTTCCAACAGACCTCACTACCTCTGAGGATGCTTGCCATAGATGCAGGCGAAACGTCAGGAGAAATGTCTCTAGAACATGGCCCTATAGCCCGAAAAAACCTACAAGAACCTAAAGAAATAAATAAATATCCATTTAAAACATTATGATCAACCATATTGCCATATCCGAGTCCGATTCAGTGGATGGATAGATGCAACACATAGACAGACCGGGCTGTGGCGCAGCTAGTTAGTAGCCGTTCTAAAACAAGCCTGTTACCCGAATGCCTGCTCCCAAAATCATGTTTTGAGCTTCTTCCTAAAGGAAAGGACGGATGGAGCTGACCTAATTTCGCTAGGGAGAGTGTTCCACAGGTGGGGGGCCACCACCGAGAAGGCCCTGGCTCTCTTCCCTGCCACACACATCTGCGAAGAAGGCGGGAGCGAGAGCAGGGCCTCCCCAGATGATCTTAAAGTTAGAGACAGGACACAGAGGGAGATACGTTTGGACAAGTAAGCTGGGCCAGAACCATATAGGCTAAGACCAGCACTTTGAATTGTGCTTGGAAATGGGCTGGCAGTCAGTGGAGCTGACACTACAGGGGGGTGGTATGCTCCATGTATGCTGCTCCAGTGAGTAATCTGGCTGCTGCCCATTGGATTAGCTGGAGTTTCTGAACAGTCTTCAAAGGCAACCCCATGTAGAGTAATGTATTCCCGTGCTGCCACTGCCCCGAGGGTGCTCACCTGGATGTGGGCCATGAGGGCGGCCACACTGCCTGCGCTCCCGACGTCCAGGGGCCAGGCCTGGTGGTCCCCCGCCGGCAGCCCCCGCAGTGTCCCTTGAGCCCCGGCTTCGTCGCGGTCAGCAATGGCCACCGAGGCCCCTTCCCTGGCCAGGCGGGAGCAGACCGCGCGGCCAATGCCACTGCCGCCCCCTGCGAAAGAGAGGAAGGCACGGCTCAAGGACAGCCAGGTGAGAGAGATACAGAGATATGGTAGGCAGGTAGATAAATAGAGAGATGCAACACATAGACAGGTATGATGGATTAGCACACTCGACACACATCCTCGCCTTGACACTGGGTAACTACCCCAACCTGCTGTTGTGATATACTGTATTATGCTTTTAATGTATTGTGTTTTAATTGGTCTGATCTTTTATATTAATAATAACAACAACAACAACACTATTTATATTCAATGATGTTTGGACAGACAGGACAGAGACAGACAGAATAGAAAGGAGGTAATTATGTCAGTGTCCAGCTTTTTGGCGTCTTGGAGGTTGTGCTCGAATTCAGCCACAGGGGGGTGCTGTTGCTCCATCTGTGACGAAAAGCCATCAGGTTTCCATCCTTCCTTTTGGTCACCGGGCATTTTCTGATCTTTTTTCTTTATGGTGTCGTAAAATACCTCTCCGGCTTTTTAGCAGTTCTTAATTTCTCTACTTATAGCTCTAGGCTGTTTGCGAACTGCTTAGGTAAACAGTGAGCTGGAATGACAGTCAGGAGCTCATGCTGACCCGGGGCTTCAAACTGGTGACCTTTCAGCTGGTAGATCTTATCACTGTTGGTGATTTACCAGCTGTGCTAAAGCCCGGCTTTAATTGTGTTCATTTAGTTCATCCTTGGTTATGTTCAGTTGTTTATAAGTTATATTTAGTTTATTTCAGTCCATGTTTCGTCTTGATTGTTGTTTGCATGTCCTTGGCATGGAACGTTAGCCATTTTTTGTTATACTTTGGAAACTGTCCTTGAGTCCCTTCGAAGAGAGAGGGCGGGTTATGGCATTATTATTATTATTATTATTATTATACTGACACAAAAGCACAGTATGTCACAGCAAACAAGATCTATATGCTGGATTTCATATCTCAAAATCACAAGTAGAACACTTCCCAAGCGTCTAGGACTGTGTGATATTATATTATTATTATTATTATAGTAGATAGATGTAATAGATCAGCGGTTCTCAACCTGGGGGTCGCGACCCCCAGGGGGGTCGCTGGGCCATTTTCTGGGGGTCGCGAAGGGGCCTCGGTTGGCCCCGCCCCCTCAAAATGGCTGCCTTACATGAAACTTCCCTCGCCGAGATCGCGATCCCGCCGGCTGGCAGGAACGCGGGTTAGGCGAGGGAGGCTTCGTGCAGGGCCTAGCACGGGCGGCAGGGGCGCAGCTTAGGCGAGAGAGGCTTCGTGCGGGGCCTAGCCTTGCACGAAGCCTCTCTCTCCTAGATCGTGCCCCTGCCGCCCGGCGGGAGCACGATCTAGGCGAGAGAGGCTTCATGCGAGGCTGCAAGGGAGCCAAGGAAGCCGAGGCAGCCTTCGCGCGAACCCTTCCTGGGCTCCCCCGCGCGCTCGCCAAATGGCGAGGCCGTGGAGGAGCCCAAGGAGGGCTCGTGTGAAGGCTCCCTTGGCTCCCTTGCGGCTTCACCAAATGGCGAGGCCGCGAGGGAGCCAAGGCAGCCTTCGCGCGAGCCCTTCCTGGGCTCCCCCGCACACTCGCCAAATGGCGAGGCCGTGGAGGAGCCCAAGGAGGGCTCGTGTGAAGGCTCCCTTGGCTCCCTTGCGGCTTCACCAAATGGCGAGGCCGCAAGGGAGCCGAGGCAGCCTTCGCACGAGCCCTCCCTGGGTTCCCTGCGCGCTCGCCAAATGGCGAGGCCGTGGAGGAGCCCAAGGAGGGCTCGTGTGAAGGCTCCCTTGCGGCTTCACCAAATGGCGAGGCCGCAAGGGAGCCGAGGCAGCCTTCGCGCGAGCCCTCCCTGGGTTCCCTGCGCGCTCGCCAAATGGCGAGGCCGTGGAGGAGCCCAAGGAGGGCTCGTGTGAAGGCTCCCTTGCGGCTTCACCAAATGGCGAGGCCGCAAGGGAGCCGAGGCAGCCTTCGCAAGAGCCCTCCCTGGGTTCCCTGCGCGCTCGCCAAATGGCGAGGCCGTGGAGGAGCCCAAGGAGGGCTCGTGTGAAGGCTCCCTTGCGGCTTCACCAAATGGCGAGGCCGCAAGGGAGCCGAGGCAGCCTTCGCAAGAGCCCTCCCTGGGTTCCCTGCGCGCTCGCCAAATGGCGAGGCCGTGGAGGAGCCCAAGGAGGGCTCGTGTGAAGGCTCCCTTGCGGCTTCACCAAATGGCGAGGTTGCAAGGGAGCCATGGGAGCCGAGGCAGCCTTCGCACGAGCCCTCCCTGGGCGCCCCCGCGCGCGAGCCCTCCCTGGGCTCCCCCGCGCACTCGCCAAATGGCGAGGCCGTGGAGGAGCCCAAGGTGGGCTTGTGTGAAGGCTCACTTGGCTCCCTTGCGGCTTGATGGAGTTCAGAATGCTCTTTGATTGTAGGTGAATCCTAGCAACTACAACTCCCAAGTGTCAAAGTCTAATTTCCCCAAACTCCACCAGTGTTCACATTTGGGCATATTGAGTATTTGTGCCAAGTTGGTCCAGATCCATCATTGTTTGAGTCCACAGTGCTCTCTGGATGTAGTGAACTACAGCTCCAAAACCAAGGTCAATGGCCACCAAACCCTTCCAATATTTTCTGTTGGTTAAGGGATATCTGTGTGCCAAGTTTGTTTCAATTACATCATTGGTGGAGATCAGAATGCTCTTTGATTGAGTTGCTGAGCTTGTTGACCGAAAGGGTGCAGGTTCAAATCCAGCAAGCGACATGAGCTTCCGCTGTCAGCCCCAGCTTCTGCCAACTTAGCAGTTCAAAAACATGCAAATGTGAGTAGATCAATAGGTACTGCTCTGGTGGGAAGGTAACCATGCTCCCTGCAGTTATGCTGGCCACATGACCTTGGAGGTGTCTATGGACAACGCTGGCTCTTCGGCTTAGAAATGGAGATGAGCACCATCCCCCAGAGTTGGACATGACTTGACATAATGTCAGGGGAACCTTTACCTACAACTCCCAAATGACAAAACCAACCCTCCCCCCAACCCCACCAGTATTCAAATTTGGGTGTATCTAGTAATTGTGCCAAATTTGGTTGGGGGGTCACCACAACATGAGGAACTGCATTAAGGGGTCACGGCATTAGGAAGGTTGAGAACCACTGTAATAGATAGATATGGTAGATAGAGAGATGCAAAAGAGTAGAAAGATGCAATAGATGGATAACCAGACAGATATGGTAAACAGATGCAACAGATCAATAAATGTGATTGATATGCTAGATAGAGAGATGCAAAAGAGATAGATAAAGAAGATTGATGCAGAATAGATAGATAGAGAAATAGATAAGATAGATAGATGTAAGAGATAGATATAGTAGATAGATGTATAACAGATCAACAGATATGGTAGATATATGCAATAGATAGATATGGTTGATATGTAGTAGACAGATAAATAAATGTGACAGATATGGTAGATAGATAGAGTAGATAGATGCAAAAGAGACAGATAAGGTAGATAGACGCAAGAGATAGATAGAATAGATAGATGCAATAGATTGATATGGTAGACAGACATACAAATAGATAGATAGATTTGGTAAATGGCAGATGGAGTAGATAGATGTGATAAATAAATGTGATAGATATTGTAGGTAGGTAGGTATCCAATACGCCCAAAGTTGAATACTGGTGGGGATGGGGGACGCGACTGATTGTGTCATCTGGGAGTTGTAGTTGGTGGGATGTATAGTTCATCTACAATCAAAGCTTAGTGAAGACAATGATGCTGGGGGAAATGGAAGAAAAAAAGGAAGAGGGGCCGACCAAGGCCAAGATGGATGGATAGTATCCTTGAAGGGACTGGATTGACCTTGAAGGAGTTGGGGGTGGCCACGGCTGACAGGGAGCTCTGGCGTGGGCTGGTCCATGAGGTCACGAAGAGTTGGAAGCGACTGAATGAATGTTGTTGTTCATTCGTTCAGTTGTTTCTGACTCTTCGGGACCTCATGGACCAGCCCACGCCAGAGCTCCCTGTCAGCCATGGCCACCCCCAGCTCCTTCAAGGTAAATCCAGTCACTTCAAGGATCCCATCCATCGACTGAACAAATAAACAAAAAAAAAAATCAAAGAGCATTCTGAACTCCACCAACGATGGAATTGAACCAAACCTGGCACATAGAACTCCCATGACCAACAGAAAATACTGGAAGGGTTTGGTGGGCATTGACCTTGAGTTTTGGACTTGTAGTTCACCTACATTCAGAGAGCACTGTGGACTCAAACAATGATGGATCTGGCACAAATACTCAATATGCTCAAATGTGAACATTGGTGGAGTTAGAGGAAAATTGATTTAGTCATTTGGGAGTAGTTGCTGGGATTTATAGTTCACCTACAATCAAAGAGCATTCTGAACTCCACCAACGATGGAATTGAACCAAACTTGGCACACAGAACTCCCATGACCAACAGAAAATACTGGAAGGGTTTGCTGGGCATTGACCTTGAGTTTGGGAGTTGTAGTTCACCTACATCCAGAGAGCACTGTGGACTCAAACAATGATGGATCTGGACCAAACTTGGCACAAATACTCAATATGCCCAAATGTGAACACTGGTGGAGTTTGGGGAAAATAGACCTTGACATTTGGGCGTTGTTTGGAGGAGAGCAATGTCCAGTCTCGATAAAATAGTAAAGAGTAGAGACATCAGACTGGCAACAAAGATCCATTGCTAGTCAAAGCCATGGTATTCCCTGTAGTCACCTACGGATGTGAGAGCTGGACCTTAGGGAAGGCTGAGCGAAGGAAGAGAGATGCTTTTGATCTGTGGTGTTGGAGGAAAGTTCTGAGAGTGCCTTGGACTGCGAGAAGATCCAACCAGTCCATCCTCCAGGAAATAAAGCCCGACTGCTCATTGGAGGGAAGGAGACTAGAGACAAAGTTGAAGTCCTTTGAATGCCACATCATGAGGAGACAGCAAAGCCTGGAGAAGGGAATGATGCTGGGGAAAGTGGAAGGCAAAAGGAAGAGGGGCCGACCAAGGGCAAGATG